AAGAAAGACTGAGAACTTTCCCCTTGAAATTGGGAACAAGACAAGGGTGCCCACTCTCACCACTTCTATTCAATATTGTATTGTAGCCAGAGCAAAAACACAAAAAAATGAATAAAAGGTATCCAAATCAGAAAAGAATAAGGAAAATTATCTCTATTTGTGAAGAACAGGATCCTATATATAAAAAATCCCAAACAGTCTGCAATAAAGCTTCCAGAGAAATTTAGCTAAGTTGAAGGGTACAATGTCAACAAACAAAAACCAGCAATGAGAAATATGAAAGGGAAATTGGGGAGAAGATTCCACTTACAATAGCATCTAAGAGAATAAAATACCTAGGAATAAATTTAACCAGGGATGTGAAAGATTTATGCAATGAAAATTATAAAACACTGCTAAAAGAAATTAAAGACTTAAATAAATGGAAAAATGTTCCATGTTCATGGATTAAAAGACTTAATATTGTTAAGATGTCAATACTACCCAAAGCGATCTATTCATTCAACATAATTCCAATCCAAATTCCAACAGCCTTCTTTATAGAAATGGAAAAACCAATCCTCAACTTTATGTGGAATGGCAACAGGCCCTGAATAGCTAAAGCAATGTTAAAAAGAGAAGAACAAAGTAGGAGGACTCACACTTCCTGATTTTAGAACATATTATACAGCTACAGTAACCAAAACACCCTGATATTAGCGTTAACAACAGACACACAGATCAATGAAATAGAATAGACAGTCCAGAGATAAAACCTCACATCTATGGTCAACTGATTTTTGACAAGGGTGCTAAGTTCATTTGATGGGGAAAGAAAGAGTCTCTTCAATAAATGGTTTTGGGGCAACTGGATTTCCATATGCAGAAAAATGAAACAGGATCCATGCCTCACACCAAACATGAAAACAAATTCAAAATGGATTAAAGACCTAAACATGCAAACTAAAACCATCAAATTCTTAGAACAATAATCAGGGGCAACGTTGTTGGGCCTAGCTTTTAACAATGGATTCTCTAACATAATAACAAAAGCACAAACAGCAAAAGACAAAAAAAATTGAAAACTTTCATTCATCAAAAGACTTTACCAAAAATGTGAAAAGACAAGTTACCAACTGGGAGAGTATCTTCAGAAACCACATATCCAATAAGGATCTAATAACTAAAATATATATAAAACTTTGACAACTTAACAACAAAAAGACAAATAACTCAGTCATAAAATGGGCAAAAGACTGGAATAGACACTTTACCAGAGAGGACATTCAAATGGCCACCAAACATATGAAAAGATGCTCTACATCATTAGCCATCCAAGAGATGTAAATCAAAACCACAGTGAGATACCACTTTACTCCCACTAGGATGGCTAAGATTTAAAAAAAAAGAAACAGAAAATAACTAATGTTGGCAAAGATGTGGGGAAACTGGAACCTTTATCCATTGCTGGTAGGAACACAAAATGGTATAGTCGTTGTGAAAAACAGTGTGGCAGGTCCTCAAAAAACTAAAAATAGAACTACCATATGACCCAGCAATTCCAATCATAGGTATATACTGAAAAGACTTGAAAGCAAAGACTCAGAGACTTGTACACCAATGTTCATGCTAGCACTATTCATAACAGTCAAAAGGCAGAAACAACCTAAAAGCCCAACAACGGATGAATGGATAAACAAAATGTGCTACATACATACAATGGAATACTATTCAGCCAGTAGGAGAAGCAACTGTAGCATTGATAGATGCTACAATATGGATGGAACTTTAAGACATTATCCTGAGTGAAATAAGTTAATCACAAATGGACAAATATGTGTGACCTCACTTATATAAGGAGACAAGAACAGGCAAAAATGTATAAATACTAAAGTTTATTAGTGGTTACCAGGGGTGGCAGGGAGGGGGAAAGGGAGGGTTATTGCTTATGGAATACTGATTTTTGATTTACAATGATGGAAAATCAATTAAGGGTAGGGTTGCATAGCCAATGATGTAATTGCTGTCAAAAAGTTATACACCTGTAAAACGCTGAAGTGGCAAAAGTTGTATAATGTATGTATTTCCAACAACAACAAAAAAAGCAACTGCTGAGGCTGCGTATGTACAACCAAACACTTCATGGGATTTGGTTACTTGGTTTGGAAGTTTAGGGTCAATTTTTCATGGGATATCCCAGTTAACTGGCCTAATATCATGTTCAGTGCTTCTGTTCTACCTCCTTGTTGTTGCATAGTGCCTGGGGTCTTAAAAGCTTGCAAGAGGCCATTCAACGTAGGACATCTGGTCTCTATTCACCTGGAGCAAAAGGGGAAGAAGGAGAGTCAGAAATAGGAGCATGAAATGAAATGTGTGGCTAACTGCCTCCATAAACAACGGCCTTCTTTGTCATGAGACAAGAAGAACTGGATGGCATCTGGCTACCATTACTGAACATTTTGATCAAAGACTCCATACAAAAATCCTGATCAAAAGGTGGGAGGGAAATGCAGAATGGAATTTCAAAATCTCATGGAATTCATACTTTCTGGAGCCACGAAGGCTAGATGAACTCCTAACACTATTGCCCTGAGATAATCTTTAAACCTTAAACCAAAAATATCCCCTGAAGCCTTCTTAAAACCAAACAATATTTTAGCTTAATTAGTAAAGAATGTCTGCCTTGAGCATTATGCTCTCTTAAGATCTATCTATATGGGATCAAATTGACAACAGCAACTTGAAAGATTAGATAGGAAACTTAGGGGGCAGTGAGTTTATGTTAATGGAGGAGGAACAACTTGGAAAAGGATGGTGAGAATGGCTGCACAACTTGAAGAATGTAATCAGTGTCAATGTATTGTACATGGAGAAACTGATGAACCGTTGTATGTTCTGCTGTGTATAGAAGCCCTGGTGGCACAGTGGTTAAGCACTCAGCTGCCAGCTGAGAAGTCTTAAGTTCCAACCCACTAGCCACTCCATGGGAGGGTGTGAAAGTCTGCTTCCATGAAGATTTACAGCCTTGGAAACCCTATGGGGCAGTTCTACTCTGTCATATAGGGTCACTATGAGTCGGAATCGACGACAGCAACGGGGTTTCTGCTGTGTATATTCTCAACCGTGACAACAAAAATAAAATAAATTATATACATAAAATATACTGTATAACTTAGTTCTCTGTGTCACTCTGCAGTTACATAGAATAATTTCTGCTTTTTAGAACCTCAAGGAATAAGACATTGAGAATGATCAAGTTTTTCATAAAACTTGAAGGACTACTCGTCCAAGTAATAAAATGGCTTTAAATTTAAAATAATAGTAATAATTGAGGGAGGCTTATTTTCTGGAAAGACACATCGAGATGGAACTTTGGGGAAGCACCAGTGTGTCTCTGAGCCTGTTTCCTCATATGAAACAAAGGACCGATAATAACTATCTTAGGAGGCTGTTGTTAAAATTATACAAGACAATTTAGCTACAGTAGGCATCCAATAAGGTTAATTGCTTTCCATCACCCAACTCCATTTTTATTTCCTATTTTTCTAGAACCACACTATCCAATAGAACTTCCTGTGATGAAGGAAATGTTCTACATCTGTGCTGTCCAGTATGCAGTCACTAGCCACATGTGGCTTCTGAGCACCTGAAATACATGGCTAGTGTGACTCAGGAACTAAATTTTACTTTTATATTGTGTGCCTAGTGGCTATACGGGACAGTGCAATTCTAGATCTTGAGAGACTGAAGGGCTTTGGGCAATTACTGCTTGATCCCAACTCTACTGTAAGCCTCACCAGCTGGCCAAGAATCCTCATACTATTTGCCTTGTAGAATGTAAGTTCCACAAAGGCAAGGATTTTCTGCCACTTTGTTCACTACTGTTTACTACATTCCCAATACTCATAACAATGCCAGCACATGGCAATTGGTCAACAAATATTTATTTGAATAAATATAACAAAACAAAAATTTTTTTTTGTTAATTGTTGTAGTTTAAAGTTTACATTTCAAGTTAGTTTCCCATACAAAAATTTATACATACATTGTTATGTGACCCTAATTGCTCTCCCCATACTGTGACAGCACACTCCTCCTTTCCACCTGCTCCCCATGTCCATTCAATCAGCTCCTAACGCTCTCTGCCTTCCCATCTCACCTAATAAAACAAAATCTGATTAACCCAGATTTGCATATTTTAGTCCCCTCCTCCCCTGCATAACACTGTTAATATCCAAGAACACCATCATTTTGGGAAGCACTGAATTAATGAAAGATAGAACCAAAATAAGTTACCAAGAGAAATCACAATGTCCAGAGTGTTGGCCTCACACTTTAATACTAAAGTCACAAACGGCAGCTACAGCCCTCCCAAATCCTCGGAGAAGGGAAAACCAACTGGTGAGGCCCACGATCAGAAAGACCACAGGTCCCAGTCTGCCCTGGGACAATTCTAATTTATACCTGCTATCCCAGCATAAAGGAACCATGGTGACATAGTGGTTAAAGTGCTTGGCTCTTAAGTGAAAGGTTAGCAGTTTGAACCCCTCGGCCACTCCATGGAACAAAGATGTGGCAGTCTGCTTCCATAAAGATTACAACCTTGGAAACCCTATGGGGCAGTTCCTTTCTGTCATATAGGGTTGCTATGAGTCGGAATCAACTCGACAGCAATGGGGGATCCCAGCATAACACCCCTTTCACCTCAAAAGTGCCCTCGTGTAGAAGATAAACTATGCAGTCACCCTAAACCTGACCCAGGGTAGCAGCTATCATACGTTCAAATTGGGATGATATGTTCCTGATAATCCCCAGTTTAAAACTCAATCCTACTTTGAAAGTATAAGAGATGCTTAAAAGACCCTTAGATTGGATCTTCTTGCAAAAGGAAAACTAAAAGCCTTAAGCTTATTTATTTTTGACATCTATGACACCCAGCCCAGAGCGACACTAGTACCCAGAATCTCAGTGGGACAGAAGAAATGCCTCTGCTTCAGAGCAGGCCCATATTCCAGCTTTACCTGCAATGGCCAGGGCTGTTCCTCTTTCTGATGCTTTTATTTCCGGGGCCACTTCTCCCAAGTCTGAATGTCTGAAACAATTTCAGAAGAAAATTACAATTAAAATACTGAAATACCACTTTCACCTATCAAATTGGCTGCATCTGAGCATCACTCGGGGAGCTTTTAAAAATTACAGCTTCTGGGTCCCATCCTAAATCCACAAAATCAGAGTCTCTGGGAGCCAGGCCTGGGCATCTGAATGATTCTGACGTGCTGAGAAACACTGGTCTAGAGAAACTAGCACTCCTGTCAAATAGCCAGAAGATAAACACAGTCATTCAGAAAGACATAAAAATGTACACACCCTTTGACCAGCAATTCTACTTCTACCCTAAGGAAATAATTAAGATTTTGGTACAAAGATGTTGATGTGAGCTTTAGATATAACAGTGAAAAACTGAACGCCTTTTAAAATCAAAGTACAATAATAGGGAATTATGATACAGCCTTACTCTGTAGTCATTACAAAACATTCTGTGGATCTTTTTGCAGACATAGAAAGATGTTAATGATATGTTAATTAGCAGGGGGAAGTCACATTATAGAACGGTATGTACAGTATGTAGGGGAAGTGGTGGTTCAGTAACTGAATTAGTCTTCCACGCAGAAGCCCTGGAGCCCTGGTGGCACAGTGGTTAAGAGCTTGGCTGCTAACCAAAAGGTAGGCAGTTTGAATCCACCACCGCTCCCTGGAGACCCAATGGGGCAGTTCTTTGTCCTATAGGGTCACTATCAGTCGGAATCGACTCGACAGCAACAGGTATGCAGGAGACGCAGTCTCAACTCCTACCCAGTGCTTCATGAGCAACCACAGTCTTTCTGTCAGTGGAGGCGTGCGTGTTGCTATGATGCTGAACAGGTTTCGTCAGAGCTTCCAGACTAAGATGAACTAATAGAAAGGCTTGGCAATCTACTTCTGAAAATCAGCCAACGAAAACCCTATGTATCACAGGGTCTGATCTGCAACTGACCATGGGAATGGTACAGGACTGGGCAGCACTTCATTCTGTTGTGCATAAGGTTGCCATGAGTCAGGGGCCAACTCAATGGCAACTAAAAACAATGTGTACAGTATAATTATAATTATATTTATCTTTATACAGAGAGTGGAGCCCTGGTGGCACAGTGGTTAAGAGTTCAGCAATGCCTTTGGTTTTGGTTTTATATATATGAAGAGAGATCTAGATGAATTTTCATCAAAAAGTTAATAGTGTAGGCAGACCAAGAAGCACACAAGAGAAAAGGATGCTTGTACTAAAGAATACTACACATATAATTTGGCAACAACACCAACAATAACCAAAAAACGAGTGTATGGTCACATATGAATGTGTATAGGCATTTGTGTGTATGGGTAGGTACAGCTGTGTACATATGTGTACACAGATAGGAGTATCTACACATATGTGTACGTACAGATACGTGTGTGCACAGATATATATTCATAGAGAACACAGTTACAGATATTTCTCAGACATAACCAAATACCTTGCAAGATTAGTTTTCTGGGTTTGAAGGCTTAGGACCTTAGTCTCATGGGACAACTCAGTCAGTTGGCAGAATATAGTTCACACAGTTCATGTTCTGCATGCTAGTGAGGTAAGTAACGTCTTAAAAGCTTGCGGGCAGCCATCTAAGATACAAATATTGGTCTCTACTCAACTGGAGCAAAAGAGAAAGAAGGAAAACAAAGTCTCAGAGAAGAAACTAGTCTACAGGGCTAACAGCCTACATGAGCCACGGCCTCACCTACCCTGAGACCAGAAGAAAGGACATAAAAAGGTGAAATGAAGGAAGTCGAAAAGAACTCCATGGAGGCCTATTAGAATTGGAGGCATTGATGTGAACCTCTGAATTCTAAATGCATGTTTATGTGCATGTTTATGCACGTGTGTATGTGTGTGTGTATATACATGCACGTGTATTTTTCCATGCATATATTTCCTAGCTGTGTTCACTGCAAGAGCCAAGAAGCAAAGACACTACTGTAGCAACGAGCATACAAGGTCTCCTCAGAGAAATGACTGATTCCAGGGCTGGGGCAGGGTAAGTACAAGATGAGCCTGGAGTATCTGAATTTTGGAAAGTGAGGATGTGCTCAAAAAACGGATGGGGCATGTCAAAGGACGCAGAAGACGGCTGGAACGGGCTCCCACTGGCCAAACCTGGGACAATTTGAGTACCCACACAATTCAGTACACCCACACAATTAAGTACAGTAATTAACTGTAAACCTTTGAAAAAAAGGAATCAATGTGTCCAAATAGACAATAAATAGATACATTAACGAGGGAGAAGGGAAAGCTCTTGCTGCCAACAGAATAGTAAAGGTGGAGGGAGTGCTCCAGCTGGAACAGCACCATTTTGCAACCATCATAATAAAGACTGGTTACAGCAAGAAACACTCCCAAAGGCTAACTTACAGAGGAAAGTGTTGGTGAGGAACGAGGTATTTGCCCAGTCTTAAAATGTCTTTCCATAGACTGCTTATTAGATCTTATTCCCAACCGAACCAAACCCACTGCTGTTGGGTCAATTCTGACTCACAGTGACCCTAGAAGGGGGGGAGGGGAACCAGTAATTATACAGAAGAGCACTTGGACTTGATTGGGTGACCAAAGTTAACGCTCCCAATGGTGACAGAGGGACATCACATGCCACCAGCATGATACTCTGGGAGATGACAAGTCACCTAGGAGTGTTTTGGCTGAGAATGCAGAACTTGGATCTAATCATGAGGACAAACCCCAAATGAGCAACGGTCCACTGGAGGGGGAGAACTGCATTATTCCAACATGCCAATGTCATAAAAAACAAAGCAAGACTGAGGAAATGTTCCAGGTTAAAGGGTAGCAAAAGACATGATAAGGAGTCCTGGTGGTGCAGTGGTTAAGCGCTCAGCTGCTAACTGAAAGGTCAGGGGTCTGAACTCACCACCACTCTGTGGGAGAAAGATGCGGCAGTCTAATTCCATAAAGATTATAGCCTTGGAAACTGGATGGGGCAGTTCTACCCTGTCCTATAGGGTCACTATGAGACGGAATTGACTGGATGGCAGTGAATGGGTTAAAAGCCATGAAAACTAAATATAATACCTGACCCCAAAAGAGATCCTGAACTGTAGGGGAAATTTCTGGGTTAACTGACGAAACTGAAATATGGGTGCTATCAATGTTAAATGTAATAGCGTTGACAACTGTACCGTGGTTCTGTAAGAGAATATTACTCTTAGGAAATAGACACTGGAGGATTTAGGGATAAAAGGTCAGGATATCTGTAACTTATTCTCAAATGGCTCAGAAAAAAAGTGTGTCTGTGTGTATGCGTATACATGTACACACAGAGATAAAAGAAACAGCACACTATATAAACAGAATTACTGTACTATAATCAACAATATATTATTAATTGCTTTATGTAACAGAGTCTGGCTCCATTTCTGACGTCTGGTGGCTGACAGTTTTCAAGTCCCACCACCACCCCTTTTGCCCCATAACTGGACAAGCTAATAAGAAAGCCCAGGGACTCCCTCTGGTGCCAGCAAGAAGTCTGAACCGCACAAGTCCCAGCACGCTGGAGGGAACCCTCACCCCAGCACCACCCTCTAAACCCCAACACCCAGGTAGTCGCCCCTCCCTGCTCTCCCCAGGAAGCCTTATGATGTGAGTAACAAACCTTTTCAAACCCTCTTGGTATGTATAAGATCAATAGTCTTGACACCCAAGCCAAATTTAGGATGGAGGTCCATCCTGCTCCTGCAGGGTAACCATATGTACTTTGAAAGCACTTTGAAAAGTTTAAAACTCACTGTGCAGCAGTGGGGACTGGATGAGAAAATGTATGCAAAGGAACTCCATCGAGGGCAAACACCAGGACAAATAAATATCAGAAACTATAACACAGTTTATGTACAATCTCCGTACAGCCTGGCAAAAAAATATGCTGGGGTGTACAGAGAGGGTGACAGAGTGGCCCCAGCACAAATGCACCACTGCTGTTCTCTTGCTTTACTGCAATCAGAACTCCCTGAGAGGGCTGGAGGGCCATGTCAAAAAAGGCACAGGCGTGTCCCTCACGTGCATGCAGCACAGAGCAGTGCACAAAATGTCGTGGCTGCTAGTGACACTCCCTTTCAGCAGAAAGTGGGCGGCTACAGAGGCCAGTTGGACCTTGGGATGCCAGTCATTACAACACTCCCAGACTAAAAGTGTCCACAGCAGCTACGGAAGTGTTTTAACCAGCAACTAGTCTTTACAACCTGTCCATCATGGGTGACTCTGCTGGTATTTGAATACTGGTGGCACAGCTTCCAGAATCACAGCAACATGCAGTACGAAAAACTGACAGAGCCATGGGAGTTTACGCTGAGCTTCCAGACTAAGACTGACTAGGAAGAAGGACTTGGTGGTCTACTTCTGAAAAAAAATTGGCCAGTGAAAACCTTATGAATAGCAGCAGAACACTGTCTGAAGCAGTGCCGGAACATGAGCCCCTCAGGTTGGAAAGCACTCAAAAGACAACTGGGGAAGAGCTGCCTCCTCAAAGTAGAGTCGGCCTTAATGACATGGATGGAATTAAGCTTTTGGAACCTTCAATTGCTGATGTGGCATGACTCAAAATGAGAAGAAACTGCTGCAAACATCCTTTAATAATCAGAACACAGAATGTATGAAGTATGAATCTAGGAAAATTGGAAATCGTCAAAAATGAAATGGATCATATAAACTTCGATATTCTAGGCACTAGTGAACTGAAATGGACTGGTATTGGCCATTTTCAATCGTACAATCATATGGGCTACTATATCAGGAATGACAACCTGAAAAGGAATAGTGTTGCATTCATTATAAAAAAAAAAAAAAAAAATTTCAAGATCTAGCCTGAAGTACAACACTGTCAGTAATAGGATAGCATTCGCACGCCTACTACAAGGACTATGCCTACATATCCTACGACTATTATAATATTCAAATTTATACACCAACCACTAAGACCAGAAATGAAAAAACTGAAGATTTTTACCAACTTCTGCAGTCTGAAATTGATCAAACGTGCAATCAGGATGCACTGATAATTACTGGTGACTGGAATGCAAAAGTTGGAAACAAAGAAGAAGGATGGGCAGTTGGAAAATATGGCCTTGGTGATAGAAATGATGCTGGAGATCGCACGACAGAATTTTGCTTCACACGACAGAATTTTGCAAGACCAATGACTTCTCCAATGCAAACACCTTTTTTTCAACAACACAATGGTGACTGTACATATGGACCTTGCTGGATGGAATACACAGGAATCAAATCAACTACGTCAGTGGAAAAAGACAATGGAAAAGTTCAATATCATCAGTCAGAACAAGGCCAGAGGCTGACTGCGGAACAGACCATCAATTGCTCATATGCAAGTGCAAGTTGAAGCTGAAGAAAATTAGAACAAGTCCACATGAGCCAAAGTATGACCTTGAGTCTATCCTACCTAATTTAGAGACCATCTCAAGAATAGATCTGACGCACTGAATACTAATGACTGAAGACCAGACAACTTATG